TGTTGCTCAAAAAGGTTAAAATATACTATAATATTTATTACCTACTTTTGTATTTATAACAAACAATATCTCATTATAGCTTAACAGATTGTTAGAGGACTATTTGAAACTGGACAACAACCAAAAACAATTCTTCCTAATAAAAAGATCTGATTTAAAAGTACAAACATTAAATTCATGTTTTTCAATTAAAACCAAAAAAGATGGAAATTTATGAAGAAATAAGTTAAAGTAAACACCTTTACACTAAATAGTTTATCAAAACTATAAATAAAATACGATTTATCAATTTTGCAATGCAAACTTGAAAAAACATTGGCCTTAAAAATCAATAATAACCAAATTTAGGACTATTGATAATAAATTTTGTACTTACCTTAAAAACTATGTTTTTAGTTCACTAATGTATTAATAAGGAAGCACAATTTACGTTTCAATTGTTTTGTATGACACTGTTTAAAATACTAATAAGCAAACTGTGCAAAGAATTTGACATTTCGGTCAAACCTGCGAGTACGGTATGCCAGGAATTTCAAATATTTACACAGCCTCCTGTAGGAAAAAGCTGAAACTAAAGAGCCAGATTCACGCAGAGCAATAACTATTTCGTGAATCACGTGACAGTTTCGTTTATTCGTATTTACTACCAAGTACGTAAGAATAATTATTCTTGTTAATGTAATGCAAGCTATTTTCATAAAAAATATCATGCAGAACAAGCAAGTTTATAATAAATAATTACTACTTGTTTCTCTTGCGTGAACATGACTTGTACCAAATGCTTCGACTCAATTGGTGCAATTTTCGCGTTGAATTAACGATTGTTACGGAGGAAAATAGTTTCGATACTGCTATAAAAAGAATTTATAAGCCGAAAGACACTTGTTAATATTGTAAAATGGATTAGATAATGGAAGAAAATTTTCAATTATTTCATTTTAAATAAGAATATTTTATTTTCGGAGTTTAACATTGTTGTGATAATGTGAAATAATGTAATTTGATGTATTTAAGTGTAGAATGTTTTAAATTTTTATAAAACATTCTTTCTAGTTCGACTTAATAATAACAGCGCTGTACTGTGGGTTGCTCGCAATCTTATTTACAATTACTATGTTTAGTATTGTCATATGATTGTCATTATCTCTAGTCATATGTCAACAATAACATTCCATAATTAAATAGCCAACAACCATCAATTAAAACGTTTGGATTCATCTTATTCATATTAAGGAAAATGGTAATTTAAAAGTTACTGTATTAATTTAAGCTATTCTTAAGTGAACGGAGAAATTTGAAATCTGTTTTCAACGTCCCATCGTCTCAATTATACAATTATCATAATGACAGTGATAAATGATAGTACTGTATGGCTTCCATTGTTTTTCTCGAGAGTTCGTGAAGGTGTTTACAGCTTTTATATTTAGTTTAGTGGTCATGTAGTGGATGTAAGCAAATCATTACAAATTCGCGTGTGCAAATACGTTGTTACGTATTTGTCTAAATCAGAAGGTCAAGTTTGAAAAAAAGGAGTTTGAGAAAGTTTATATTAAAATTTTAACACAACATGAATGAAAAGTTTTTGGAGTTTGTTCCATATTCATCTGTTATTAATCCAAGTTTCTGGAGTAAAGTTGTTCAAATTAAACTGGATGTTGATAAACTGCATGAATGTTATAGACCAATTTGGGGATTCTTCACTAATGTTGATAGTAACACATATCGCACCCCTTTATTGGAAATAGATAGTACATCTTTCAATTTGTAAGTACTTATGTGTTTATATTAATAGTGAGTTATTAATAAAAAAAATTATAGAACATGCCCAGAAGCTGTTGGCTCATTGTATATTAAAGGACACTTTGTCAATAAAAACACTATTGAAAGTTTCAAAGAATGTGATAAAGCTCACATTCTTCATAATGAAGGATTGAACATTTGGAAAGATATCATATCTGGAGCAGCATTAGACAATCCTTCTTTACTGAACAAATTCTTTATTTTAGCATTTGCAGTAAGCCGACTAAATGTACTTATACTCATTATAACATAACTTAACTGTTTTTTTTCAGGAGTTAAAAAAGTATCACTTTTATTATTGGTGTCTTTATCCTTGTATATCAAAGTTGAAATTAAATTTAACAAGCATCACCAACTTAAAAGATTGTGGCAGCTTTAATGAGCAGGAAGTTGTAAGTTAAAATCAACAAGACTGTTAAAATATACTATAATATTTATTACCTACTTTTGTATTTATAACAAACAATATCTCATTATAGCTTAACAGATTGTTAGAGGACTATTTGAAACTGGACAACAACCAAAAACAATTCTTCCTAATAAAAAGATCTGATTTAAAAGTACAAACATTAAATTCATGTTTTTCAATTAAAACCAAAGAAAATATTTTGATAAATGAAGATGATTATTTCTTCTGCTTCTCAGATCCTTGCATGACTGATACATATGCAGGATGGCCTCTTAGAAATTATATTCTTTTTCTACTGTACTATTGGTAAATATATAGCAAGTAAGGCTCAAAAAATGTAATCTAATCAATTGTAGAAAAATATGTAGTTGCACATTTTTTTAATTGTTAGCGATTAACATTGTTAATAATGTTTTATTTTCAGTCCCAAATTAGCTGGAAAATCAGTAAATGTAATATCTTTCCGAATACATAGACAAGAATCTCAAACATTATGTGATAACAGTATCATTTTTACCGTTCGAATTTCTAATGATATTGGCCCACTTGAAGATTTTGTTAATGAGAAGGATTCGTGGATTGGATGGGAAAGAAACGAGAAAGGAAATTTTGGTCCTAAATTTTCAAATATGAGAGGATCGTTGGATCCTGTGGGGTAAATATAAATTATCAAGAGAAAATTATAAAAATTTTATTTTTGTGTCCATAGTTTAACTCAATCATCAGCCGAATTAAATTTGAAACTGATGAAATGGAATCTGGTGCCAAATTTAGATTTGGAACGAAATCATAGTACAAAATGTCTTTTATTTGGGGCAGGAACTTTGGGATGTGCTGTATCCAGGTCATTAATGGTAAATGTTATTATTAGGAATTATTTCTGTTGTATAAAAGCAACAATTCTTTTTAGAGCTGGGGTGTAAAAAGCATAACACTAATCGACGGTGGCAAAGTCTCGTTTTCCAACCCTGTAAGACAGTGTTTGTACACTTATGAGGACAGCTTAAAAGGAATTCCAAAAAGTGTGGCAGCGGTTAAAAACTTAAAAGAAATCTACCCGTTGGTGGTAAGTATTTATAACTTTGTGCAATACAAATTTAAGTATCATTTTTATGTTTATAAGGACGCACACGCTTTTTCTTTATTCGTACCCATGCCAGGACATCCTGTGGGTGAAAGTCTCTTAAAACAAACGTTAGAAACTGTAAAAGAAGTTGAAAAACTTGTGAAAGAAGCTGATGTAATTTTTTTGCTTACTGATTCAAGAGAAAGTCGTTGGTTACCTACAGTTTTGGGAAGTTATTACGGAAAAGTATGTTATAAAATCCAAACATATAATAATTTTTAAGAACTCTGTTTGTTTTATTTATTTCTAATGTTTTTTAGATTGTTATAAATGCAGCTTTAGGATTCGACTCATATTTGGTAATGCGTCATGGTGTAAGGCAATTTCCTGGCCCTGATACTATACCTGTGGAGGAGAATCACGGAAATGGTGTTAAAAGAATATCTGGAGAAAATTTGGGCTGTTACTTTTGCAATGACGTTACAGCCCCAGGAGATGCAAGTTTTATTAGTATTGTTTTTAATTTTCTTTAATTTCTTTTTGTTTTAGTCGTTACATAATCGCACATTGGATCAACAGTGTACAATCACGAGGCCTGGAGTGTCTATGATAGCAGGGGCGTTGGCTGTTGAATTGGCAATTTCTGTTTTACAACATAAAGATGGGTAAGTAGACAAATTATATTTTTATAATTTATTTATTTTAATTTATAATTGCAGTGGTCGTGCTGCTGCATATTATAAGACCGAAAACGTCGAAGTGTTTTCTTCAGATATTCCTGATGAAAGTTTGCTGGGGATTGTGCCCCATTCGATTAGAGGGTTTTTGTCAACATTCTCCCAAGTTTTGCCAGCTACTCAACGTTACAAGCAATGCATTGCTTGTTCAGATGTTATTCTTAATGAGTACAAAACTAGAGGATTTGAATTCTTAATGGATATATTCAACAGTTCTAAACTTCTAGAGAAAATTACTGGAATTGAAGAGATTTACAAAAACATTCCAGAATATCAGGTAAGATTTTTGAGTCGTTATTTTATACATATAAGACTTAAATAATACACATGAGTTTGTAAATTAACTTATTTTTTTGTTTTCAGTCAATCAGCAGTGATGAGGAATTCACAGATTAACCTAGTCATCATATTAGGCATACTGAGGAAGTTTAATGAAAGAAAATGCTATATATAAATTATTTCTTTCTCATTTTGATAGGAAAAAGAACTGTTTATATTACTTGCTTCCGAATTATTCCATTTTTATTAATTGCATAAGAAACTGTAAAAGACATTGATGTTGTTTTAAGTATATTAAGAAAAATCAACATAAGTTGAGCTCAATAGTATCAAAGAAAAAGTAATAATGAGGAAAAAATAGAACTAGTTGTTACTATGATGAACAGAATGTTTGATTTTAATTTGGTTCATACTTTTGTGGGGGTCTTTAATTTTTTAATTTTATGATAGTACAAATTTTTATCATTCAAAACAAAAACATTTCTTTCTCTTTTTAAAAAGAAAAAACTTAGTATACTATTCACACATTTCCATGATATCAGTTGCTCAAAAAGTCGTGTTTGCTGATAATATTAATTATTTGTAGAAACGTATAAATACTATGCTGTTAAAAAACGACATGATTATATAACTTAATCGCTCAGGGATTAAGCGTTATTTCTTGTGTGGTCAATGTTGTAGCTTTTATTAGTATTTGTTGATGCTACGTGTGTTGCTAAAAGTAACAATATTCGCTTTTTTGTTAAAATTTCTATAGACGATCTTTTCTTTTGTAGTTTTATTTGTTATTAATTTATAAAAATGGAATGGCCATATAATATACTCATATTCTTAAGTATTAAAGGCAAAAAAGATTAAGGTAATGGCGTTATGATAGTATGCTAAATGTTGAATTGATATATAATTCAATGTTTTTAAGCTTATCGCTTTGTTGTTTTACTAGTCATTAAATGTGTTTGGCGCATAAGGAAATATATTTGTATGATTGATTTAAATACAATTTATTATAAAAAATTCAAAATATAAAGCAAATAGTGGTGTATGTCTCTTTTAACTTAAGTAATGTTGTAATAACGAGTAAACTTGTTAATGTCAATGCTGTTATAATATCTTAAATTGTTATTGTAATTTATTTAAATGCAACAAATGTATTTAAAGCTTACCTAGTTAAGTTAGTTAATATACTCTTCAAGTGCTGTTTTGTATTAATGGAAACGTGAGCAGGATAAATTCTAGTAAAGTGGCTTACTGTAGTTTATTTTGGAACCTTTTCATTTTGGTACCTTAGTTGATTGCAATGTTTCTGTAATTTCATAAAACTTTCAATAATAAATACAAAAAAATGGAATAGTTGTTTTATTTTCTCCTCAAATTTTAAATAAATAGTAATTAAAATTTTTATAGTGCTGGTGGCGCCATCGTATAATTAGTAGTTGAACTATGACAGAGAAACTGTACAGTCTGTAACTAAGGTTTGTTTCACAATGAAGGCGCGAACTTCGAAAAAAAGATCCAAAGCAACTTATGCTCTCCTGATACAAATGTACAAATTTTCAAACTTTTGTAGGTTTTCCAACTTTTGTATTAGGATAGCATAAGTAGCTTGGGATCTTTTTCTGGGTTCACACTTTCAGCGTGGGCCGAACTTTAGTTTGACTGCCATGTAGACGCTACAGTGTTTTTACTACTACTGGCGCTGTATTTAAGCTATTGGTTGTAAGGTGGCGCTGGTGGTATTAAAATTGTTATTTGAATAAAAATTTAAATTTACATATACTATATATAAAATTCTTTTTGAAGAACGTATTTCTGCAGGTCTCATATTGGCATATCTTTAATAACACAAAATGCTTTATATTTTTAACATTTATTAGTGAAATATTTTACACATTGTGTGGATTATTTTCTATAGTTTTATACATACTTAGCTCATCCCTATTAGTTATTAGAACCTAAAATTGTTTAGATTTTAGCTTTTAACGCAATGTAGAGTAAAGTGATGATACAAATTTTTGATAATTGTTTTACATTTCCAGTGCAATCTAATACATTTTTTAAAACAAAATTAAATTACTAGTTCATATGTAAATTAAAATGTAATTGTATCTTATCATTCTATAAAGCAATGCATTGTCTGGATGGTTTTAAAATGAAAGGTACATATAATTTACGTACATTTTAAATAAGTTAGACAGTTCCTAGCCAATTAATTGTGTAATACAGATTACAGTTTACAATAGTCTATTCTAATTAATAAATTGAAGATCTAAGTAGGTAATACAATTTAGTTGTAAGCTGATTATTTCTATTTCGACTATATATACATATGAAAAGTAAGATGATAACACAATATGCACATTTATAAGATGTAACTATTACAGTTTTTTTTTTTTATTAAAAATAAAGTTCTATCTACTTAAATGAATTCTTTTTTTGGGATGGAATTAAAATTTTAGTTTGCTATTTAAATTTTCAAGTCTTGTATTAGAGTTCATGTGAAACAATAAATAATAAGTACCTAGTATCACAAAGGGCGTGGTTAATTAATAATTTGTAGTATCTATTTTAGTCATTAATTACAATAAAATTGGTGGGATAGAGACTAAGCAGTATAATCATGTTAATTTTCATGTGGTAGATCAAAGTTGGTCGTATACAATTACAGATAGAAGGTTTAGGTAAAAATATCACATACAGTTGCTTGATTGTACCGTTAAACTAAAATAAACTTTTGGATGAAACATTAACATCAACGGGAAAACGTTTAATATAATTATTAACTAAATGCTTTAAGACTAACAAGTAAATAACTGTTTGATTTTAATAATGTAGCAAATTCATTAACATGTATACTATTAAGTGTAATCATTTTCTGATGTCTTATAAACATGAAATTAAAAAAAAAAGAGCAAAAAGCTCAACTATTTATACTTTTTTTGATTATGGTTTGTTAACCATATCATTTTTTTGTGTTTATTGATATATTTTCTAATGAGAGAATCATGAAATTTAATTACGTAGAAGGTACAGATACAATATATTAATAAATTAGATTTATCAACCCCTCTGCTGGGAATAGTTTTTGAAAGTTTTCCTGTAAAGTTTTTTGTATGCAAGTATGAAGTATGAATAATACTATCTTAAATCACTTATAAAATTCAATTTTAAATATGTAATAACTAATAAATAATTAGTTAATATTTTTGTGATTTCACTAACACTGACAGTGAAGGGAAAGGAACAGGGCGTTTAAATATCTTCATTTATTTTAAACATGTTTTACAATTACTAATAATGCTTAAAACAGTATAAATATTCAGGGGGTACGTTTTAGTGAGTACACAAACAAAAAGTTTTGTGGAAAACCAAAATAAATATTTATTTTAAACGCCCTGTATTAAGCTCGATTTAAATATTTGTAAAGCTAACGGTGCAACAATAATAGATATCATTAAATAACAACAACAACAACATAATTTTTTACTGCTATCTATTTTCTAACGAAAAGAGGCCTACTGCTCGATGTAATGAAGAAGTTCCTCTTTGGATAAAATGAACTCTTTGCGGTAATTTTTTCAACATTTTGACTTATTGTGTAGACGGATGAAGGTAAATTGAAATTCTTATCAACAGGATAGGTACTTTGATAATCGTTTAAATTGTTTAGGGATGTATTAGTGTTAAGAAGGAGGGGCCTCTTTTGAGAATCCGAATGAAAAGTTCGACTAAGAAAGTTAGCAACATGTTTAGGAGTTGAAAGTTTAATGGAAAGGGGTCGCTTGGACGATGAGAATGGGGCCTTGTACGTCGTTTTTTTCGTTTCAAATCTGTATTGTATTTTGGACATGGCAAAAATGTTATTGATGTTATTGATATTTTTTTGTTTGGGGAGATACATGTAGTTGTTCATCATGGCGTTGTCGTTGAAATTGTTGTAATAATATTGAGTAAAATTGTTCCTTCGGTAACAGCTTTGTTTGTTGGTGATGTTGTTGCTTTTATAAGTGGCAGTTTCTTTGGGATATTGGTAATAAATTTTGTTCAAGACGGGCTTCTTATTCAGGTCGTTCTTTCGATAGCACATTTCGTTTATCGGTGGGTTTCTCTGTCACACCTCCTGAAGGAACTTTATCGGGCACACGCCTTGTCGGTTGTCTCCGGATCGGATCATCACAACACCATCAACTTCTTCGCCAATTTGAATAACGATTTGGTCCCTCAGTAACATGAGTCCGTTATCTCCATCAGACAGTTGCAAATTGTGGGTGACCTGAATCAATAAAGATTTATTATTTAAGGAGTTCAGTGAAATGGAAAAGTGTTTTATTAGTACCTGCAGGGCTTTCTCTCCGGCAGAGAGCTTAGAGCAATACTTGGAAGGAAAATATCCGATTCGTCCCAAGCACTTTCCTTTCCACCAGTCAGGATCAGAAAAGTCGATTACAGTGACTTTATCGCCTGCTTTTAGATCAAGCTCATCCTGATGCCTGGCTTTGAAGTTGTACAGAATGACGTACAGGTTCGTTGGTAAAAGTCTATGTGATTTCTAAAAGAATAATTAACGGATATAGTCAATTATTTATTCGTAATTAACAACAAAAATGTCTTGTATGTGGTTTTAATGATTAACACTGTGTAGCTTTTATTTTAATTAAAGTTAAATGGTCTTTAGAAATGCTCCAATTATTTCCTTTTAAGATTAATGTACTTCAAAATCATGGAATATATATAATATAAATATAATAATAAACAATAGATTCTTAGATTTTGTAAACATAATTTATAATCGCCGTGAAATTAAAAAGTAATAAAATTACAANATCAAAGTTGGTCGTATACAATTACAGATAGAAGGTTTAGGTAAAAATATCACATACAGTTGCTTGATTGTACCGTTAAACTAAAATAAACTTTTGGATGAAACATTAACATCAACGGGAAAACGTTTAATATAATTATTAACTAAATGCTTTAAGACTAACAAGTAAATAACTGTTTGATTTTAATAATGTAGCAAATTCATTAACATGTATACTATTAAGTGTAATCATTTTCTGATGTCTTATAAACATGAAATTAAAAAAAAAAGAGCAAAAAGCTCAACTATTTATACTTTTTTTGATTATGGTTTGTTAACCATATCATTTTTTTGTGTTTATTGATATATTTTCTAATGAGAGAATCATGAAATTTAATTATGAAGTAGATACAGATACAATAAATTAAGAAATTAGATTTATCAACCCCTTTGCTGGAAATAGTTTATGAAAGTTTTCCTGCAAAGTTTTTTGTATGCAAGGATGTGAAATTAAAAAGTAATAAAATTACAATAAACAATTGGGATTACCTTGCCTCCTACGGGACTTGGACAAGGAGACGCACTAGCAGAGGAATGACTCTTTTCGTTATCATCAGGAAGTTCAACAGATGACATTCTCATATTTTTCGCTGAAAGGAGTCGTCGATTGTGGACAGGACTCGAAGGAGCTAACGAAAGAACAAAAGTTTAAAAATGCGATGGAATTGACAATAATTTTAATTAATCAATTAAAGATTTCAACGTATTGAACACATACTTAATTGAGTAGAGAAGTTCTAGATGTTTTTATAACTTACAATCTATCCTTGATGAAGAGCTGTCCTTTGAATGTGGTTCGCTGGTAGCAGCTCCGTGATGTCTTCTTTTTTGAACATATTCAGAGCTCTCTGGGGAGTCTAGCGACAAACTTTTCATTCTAATGTTCAACTTCTGACGCCGTGGGGAATGAGGAGCTGTACAACATAAAAAACGTTATTTCCGAGTTTCGTTATTGCCTTGAATAAAATTACAAAATGCATAAGCATGCAGCCCAGGTAGGAAAAGCTCTCTAAGATAAAAGCAAGCCGAAGCTTTTGGCGAAGCTGAAACTCATTTACAAGCACACACATCAGAAAATAGAGAAGGAAATTGTGCTCCAAATTAACAACTCTTTAAAAAAAAGTGCAAAAGTACTTTGGTCGTTTTATGTCCTTAAAAATTGTTTGTTTATTAATAGGTTTGTAACTGTTAGAAATGGTATTTATATGATTATAAGTTATAATAATGAATCGACATGGATGAATTACATAAAACTTTTTTGTAAAATAAAATGTTTCGATGACAAAATAATGATAAATAAAACAATTGGTATGAAAAATTGCGCATTTCACTCTTAGGCAAATCTTGAACTCGATGGATGACAAAATGAGAGGCTTGTTCAAAATTGTTATCTTGATAACTTAGCAAAAAATTAAGCTTCACACTCGTCAAAAGTAAACTTACAATTTATTGAATTGTAAACGTAATGAAGAACTGGATTTTTGTTTTTTTTTTATTTAATAAATAAATAAAAAAGCAGTCGAAAGAATTGTACTCTTATATTTGTAACATCACAGTTTAGGTTGGAGGTGTAAACATTAAAAACAAGTACTAGGTACAGTAAATTCCAAAACGGAATTAAAATTCATTTTATTATAATTATACGTATATATTCAACAGCGTGGGGTGAGTGTAAAGAAGGTTCATGTTCATAGTCCAAAATTTTATTTAAAGGATAATTTTATCATAAACTGAATTTAATTTTTGTAAATTGAATTCAATTTTTCATTTCTACGAGATATGAATTGATAATGTATTATTTTTTAGAAAAAAAA